CCTATAGGGCCCCGTCTGTGGTGGTCTATTGGCTCCTTAGGGCGCGCGCGGTACGTTCGGGATGCGTTTTGCGTTTGGTATCCTTTCATGCTGAAACGGATGGACCGATTGGTATGTAGATAGGGGATGGCCTGGCTTACCAAATAGTTTTTTATCAACATAACACGCGGGCAAAACTTTGGGCGGAAGCTAGTACTTTATATGAAAATTTTGTGAAGTAAATTTTGTGTGTATTCAATCAGTCATATTGCATATTATTTTTTGATTTATTATTCAATAATATATACATATATAATATTTATATTTAAATATAATCGTGACATATTATATACAAACTTATAATTTATAATTATACATATAATAAACACACAACTATACAGTTATACAAATATATATTTTTGGAAATTTATTATACTTTTAATGCTTGCTCTCTATTGGGGGATTATAAAAAATTGATTTTTTATGTTTTATTTATTTTATACTCAGTTATAGTGTTTTAGGATAATAACTTTTAAACTTTCGCGTTTCATATTAACAACATAATTATAATTACGCGGGGATTTACGCGAAAAATAATTATTGAAATATACCTACTTGGTAGGCTTGACGTTTCGACCAGAGACAACAGACAGACCAAGGTTTTTAAATAATTATTTTCCGCGTAATTATACATATGTTGTTTTAGGATAGTCGGTAGGTAGATGTGGGATATTTGGAATTCATACTCCGTATCGTCTAATACGGTATGACAGATTATTTTTATATTCATTTAGGTGTATTTAAATTACAATAAATTTTAATTAAACATAACTTTTTATGTTGACCTGATGGTTAAAGAAAGGATTAGTAGAAATATATTTTTTCCGAGTTATATGTACTTTCTATGATTATTTAGATACCACTGACATACGGTGAAAGAAAACATTAGGAAACCCGGACTTATCAAATACAAAGTCGCTTTCTCTGTCCCTATATCCCTATGTACGCTTAAATCTTTAAAACTAGGCAACGGATTTTGATGCGGTTTTTTTAAAAGACAGAGTGATTGAAGAGGATTGTTGGAATATGTATTATAACATGTTGGAATATGTATTATAACATCCATAAAATAGTCAAGAAATTTCGTATTAGTTAGGTAGCTAGTTTTTAAACAAAATTTAATTGTAATTTAAATACATCTGAACTGTATTTATTATACTTATATCATTTCGAATCTTATATATATAGTAGTCAATAAAAAATATATAATATAATATGTATGTCTGTTTTTATATAGTGTCTATAGACTCCTCTAAATTATATATTTATAATCTAAACCTATAAGAGTTTTGGGGATGAAAATTTGAACTGTAAGATTGGAGCATACGATTTTAGACTCAATTTTGTGATGCATAAGTATCAATTCTGTTGAAGATTGGACACAGATTTTGATGTTTGATTGTAATAAAAGTAAATAAGTTTGAAATACTATTGTTATCCTACTAATTCGGTAGTTTCCAACTAGTCAAATTCGACACTTTTATCCGAATGTCAAAAACTATACTTTTCTATGAAAATTGCATGAAAAACTGAGTTATGACGTCATAGTATTTTTGCGTCAATTAGCTTACTTATTTCTCAATTTCTAGCTAAAAATATCTAAAACCAAGTGTATTGATCGATCGATGAATAAAAGTATAGTTATTTTTCAATATTTCATTGTATTGAAACGTCGAATTAATTTATTTTTGACCTAGGAAACTACCCAATTATATGATAGTGAAAGTTTGTGAGAGTATAAGGACGTAAATTTGTTTTTTTTTTTCACGCTAACACGGATGGACAGAGACAGATTTTGTATAAAGATAGCTGATACATAGGCTGGCTTTTTATCAACATACCACGCAGGCGAAGTTACGGTCGAAAGCTAGTTAAAGATATTACGAAAAAATTATTGAAAATATCAACTGACTAAAGTGATTGAAGTGATAAAAACTCTACTAAAATCAAATCTAAATCAAAATCAATTTTGAACGTCAAACTAAATTGAAAGATATAAAGTGTCAGTCTGTCGGTCAGTCCTCTTAGTGAAGCTATTTGCTCGTTCCAAAGGGTAGATTCCGATTGAGAAGAACGTGCAAGAAAATCCATGGTTACTCTTTTTCAAAAATGTACTAAAAACAATATATGTCGTTCAAATTTTCTTCCCAAAACTCTTTGAATATTAATAAAAAAAATTGATTACTATATATTACAGCTATGTATTTTAATAATCATAATAATATTAATAAACTTTAAATTCTAAAAATTATGAGTTTTTTTTTCATATAACGTAGGTATAATACTAATTTGATTTTTTTAATCTATGGAAATGTATATCCTGTTTTTATCTGTCTTCCGGTTATACAGGCTGTTGTTTTAAATTGTTTTTTTTTAACTGTGTGTGTGTATGTGTGCGAGCGTATACTAAACGAGTTTTCTGAGCTATTTTTAAGTGTTACTCTAATGTACTGAAGAAACTAAATATTATTGCTAAAACTATTTACTTATTAACATTTAAAACAACAGCCCTTATTATAAATTCCAGTCGTTTAACTAAATTAAATAAAGATTTTTAATTAACTTAATATGTATTATAAATAAGTATGAGTCATTCTTTTTTATTTGAACATTCAAAGAAATATTGAAGAAGTGTGTAAGAGTTTTGATTCTTAAGGGCTTTTTTCATTATGTTGTATATATTGTTATCTAAAGGATATGGGGCAAGGTTATTGAAGAAAACCTTGAAAAAAGAAGCTAATTCTGAGTTACATATATTTACTCAGATTATTTAGACACCACTGACAAGACAAACCCGGACTTGATTTCTGATGATTTCTAATTATAAGTTTGAAGCTGCTGTAAACGTGAAACATCTATACTACCTAAATTATGTTTTGAATGACATGTAATTAGGGGCGCCCAGGAGCGTCTATAGCATTATACAATAATTTTATTGCGTCAGAATTAAAGAGAAGAAAATTTAAAAAGAAATCTATACTTAATTAATGAAAAAGCAGAGTCATCACTACATAGTATAAAACAAAGTCGCTTTCTCTGTGCCTATATCCCTATGTACGCTTAAATCTTTAAAACTACGCAACGGTGTTTGATGCGGTTTTTTAAGAGAAAGAGTGATTGAAGAGGAAGTTTTTTATGTATAATAACATCAAAATAACAGAAAAATTAAGTATCAGCATTACACCAGATGCGAAGCCGGTAAAGAAATTCATAGGAAAATAGACATACGGAATTTCTTTTTCTTGAATATTTAAATAAAAAAGAAATGACTGTATTATGTGTTGTTGTTTTTTTATGTATTATTAATATGTAGATAACATATTGAGATTTGCGAAGTGATCTAATTAAAACTTGAAAACACATTAATAAATAAAAATGACATTTAACAATATTTTTTTCAGTTACATGAAAAATGTTATAATAATTTTCATATTCATTTTCTAATTAATATTTTATATTTAAAAAGGTTTGGTCGCAGCTTATTTAATAATTAAATTATTTAGGATTTTGACCCGCGCCTTATAATTAATATTAAAAAATAAAATACAAAAAATATATAATACTTATGATTATATCATTAAATTATCTAAATCTATGTAACTTAAATATAAAACAAAATAATTTTACAAATCGTAAATCGAGAATAAACAGCTAAATCAACTATTAAGTGTTTTAAAATATATATAAATCTATTCATATCAGCCTCGTATAGGATTATTTTGTAAATTTAACTAATTTATGACAATAATAATGTCACAATGACAGGACAATATGGTAGTTTCCAACTAGTCAAATTCAATACTTTTATCCATATGTCAAAAACGAAACTTTTCTATGAAATTTGTATGAAACTCCAAATTATAAAGTAACAAAATTAGCTAAAAAATATCGACAATTTAGGGCTGATTTTCCTGCGGAATAATTATGATGCTGTCGCGTCAGAATGTTTGTATAAGACAGTGACAGCAACAATTTTATTCCACAGATAACATTTATCTGACTATTGAAAAAATAGCCCTTAGTGTATCGACACATCGATGAATAAAAGTATAGTAAAGTTATTTTTAAATATTTTATTGTAATGAAACGTCGAATTAATTTATTTTTGACCTAGGAAACTACCCAATATGCCGTAATGATTTGAAAAAAATCATTGTAGCGTCTTTTCTCATAGTAAATGTATTACTACATGAAAATGTCATTAGAAAAACACACTAATGCGCGTTAGGGGGCGTTTATAAAATACGTGCGATGTTTAAAAAGGGGCGCGAGAGATGGTCATCTGATCTTACGTTGGAGGGACGGGGACTGTGGCGGCAAATATCATGTACTTTAGTACTTTTTTTTCTGTATGAAGCAAAAACTAAAACAATTATATTATTTTGGTCATTTTTAATCCAGATTGGACATGCTTTTTTTGACAGGAGAAAATCTTCAAATTTTTTCGCCCGTCCAGGGTAAGGCGAGAGAGAGTGTCAGACTCTTCCTGACTAACCCCCCCCCCCCCTGTTCCTTCTCCTGCTCTGGGCCGAGGTCGCGGTGACTCATTGAGCTTACCCCGCAACCTCGGCTGAACATCAGCCCTATAGAGCCCCGTCTGTGGTGGTCTATTGGCTCTTTGAGGCGCGCGGAACGCTGCGCGCCGTACGCTCTGGTCTGGTTCTGGTCGGGCGGCGAGCTACCCTTAATCGCCGTCCGCAGACCCGCGATTATTTACGCTTAAGATTGAATCTTATCTTAAGCATACGATGAAGATCATTCCCTAATTCGTTTTAAAAAGAAAATTTTCTTTTGTAAAATGTTTAGTAAGAATTCCACATGAAAAATCTCACACAACGTGAGACTGGGGAATGACTGGAGGAGGCTGAATAAGATCTCACGACATCTCACCAAGAGGGGGGGGGGGGGAGGGGCTGAGATTAAAAAAAAAACACATCACGTAATTTATAAACGCCCCCTTGAAAACAAAAATAATCATAGAAAAATGGTCGAAGATTTAAATAGAAGGACAAAAGCGCGGGTCGATTTGAATTTCTAAACATTATTATTATAATTTATACATCACGTAGCTTCGTCCTCTTCTTGTTTATGGTCGGAGCGCCTGGCTGCGACTATGGTAAGGTCCGGTCGCGTCCGCATGAGGGCGGACGGTGAGGCGGGGGGCGCAGGCGCCGGGACAGCCGGGACTTCGCCCCCTCGTAACGAGTCTAAGCTCGCCACTCTGATCGTTGGCCATTTGCCTGCTGATAATTGAATGTTGTGGTTGTAATACTCAGAAATAATGATTATATAATAATGATAAAAAAAATCGTCAGTGACTGCACGGTTGGTGAGGTGGCTGGGCAACTGGCTGCCGCGCAACGTGTTCCAGGCTCGATTCTCGCACGGAATAACGCTTTGTGTGATCCACAAATTGTTGTTCCGGGTCTGGGTGTAATGTGTATGGGTATTGTATGTTTGTAAACGCACCCAAGATATATATAGCATATATAGTTTGGGAGCGCTACGCTTTGGCACAAATGAGTCGGCTCGACCGAAGTGATACCACGGCCTCAAATAAAACCGGCGTGAAACAAACACAGCGTTATATTTCGCCGTGTGACTGAGGTAACCGGAGGCCCAATAATTTGCCTCCCCAATCCCTTAATCCAGAAAACCCTAATCTCCAAAAGGTCGGGCAACGCACTCGTAACTCTTTCGTCGTTGCGGGTGTCCAAGGGCGGCGCTGATTGCTTACCATCAGGTAATCCGTCTGCTAGTTTGCCGACCTATCACTCCTATAAGCTAGTATCTATATAAAAGGTATAAAATCAATATAACTTACATGTAGTAGTGGCTGTGGATGGGGGTATCTGTTTCGCGTCGTGTGTAGATATCACGGTCGCTGGGATTGTCTCCTCATCTGACACGGAGCCAATCACTATCTTCTTTATAGGCTACAACAAATATATTATAATTATTATATTTTTTCGACTTACTCACGTTATAATTGGACGAGATACTCGATTAGATTCAAGCCATGCTAGAGGCCCAAGTAGCAGCGCGACAGTCGCCGCGTCGCGTGTCGCGGAATACTGCTCATGAATATGGGCTTCTAGCATGGCTTGAAACTAGTTGAGTATCATCGATCGAGTATAAATTGGAACCAGTAGTTCTGGGGATTAACGCGTTGAAACAAACATACTTTATAATATTATTATAATATATAGTATAGAAGTATACATTTTATGGGAAACTAGCGATCAGCCCCGTCTTCGCATGGGTGCAATGCTAATAAATATGGACATATAATTTCTTATTATTTGAGTTTGAAATCGCCAATCCGCATTGAGCAAGCGTGGTGATTAATGCTCAAACCTTCCCTGTATGAGAAGAGGCCTTTTCTCAGCAGTGGGCACTTATGCTAATGATGATTATGATGATGCCTATTGTAATGATTCAAGACGTGATTTTAGAAAATATTTTCCTCTCGATGTTTTCCTTCATCGAATGTCAGTGGTGTCTAAATAATCATATCCATTTACTAGTAATTTTGTTCTCACGGAATGAACTTGACATCCTTATTTCCAATATTTAAATGTTGGACCTTACCTTATCTACCTAGCCGGGGTTGCGGGGTAAGCGCAATGAGGCACCGCGACCTCGGCCCAGAGCAGGAGAAGGAACGGGGGGGTTTTTAGTCAGTAAGGGTCTGATACACCCCCCAAAAAATTTTTTTTTTCCGATTTTCCCCTCACAAAAAAAACCTTATCTACCTATAATAGTAAATACTAACAATTACACAAGTACCAATGTGACTTTTTCCAAGTTATATGTACTTTCTATGATTATTTAAACTCCACTGACATACGGTGAAGGTAAACATCGTGAGGAAACTTGGACTTATAATTTCCTAAAGTTTGCAGTCACTTATCCGTCTTGAGCAAGCTTGGTGATGGACACTCAAACCTTCTCCGTATGAGAAGAGGCCTTTGCTGAGCAGTGGACACTTATAGGCTGATAATTTACGTACCTTATCCCCCCCTACGACGGCGGGGGTGACGGTGGTCGCTGTGGTGGGTGGTTGGGTTTTCCGTTGTTGTTTATTGATGACCGCACCACTCGCGCTGTACGTCCGAGATCGGGCCTTCAGGGACGGATCTATTTCTATCGGGATCGGCTCGAAATCTGTAACATTGAAGAACATTAAATAAAGTACTAGCTCTAACCCGCGGTTTCGCCCGCGTGGTATGTTGGTAAAAAGTAGCCTATCTCCTATTTCGGAGTGTATCCTATGCCTGTGCCAAGTTTCATTCAGATCCATCCAGCCGTTTTGGTTGAGTCACAAATATCGTAACTTTCGCATTTATAATACATATTAGTTAGGTAAGACTAGCTTTCGCCCGCGGCTTCGTATGCGTAGGTAGGTATAAAATTATTGTATCCCAGGATTTTAAAAACAGCAGCGTTTAAAGCGATAGCTCGACTGTAATACGCAAACCAAGTATAATTTATAGCCTATAGCACTAAGGAACATTGTAGCTATCTAGTAGTGAAAGAATTTTGGTGATCCGACCAGCGGATCAAAAGCTTACCGCTTACATAAGTTACATACAAACTTACAAATTTTAAGTCTTTATAATATTAGTATAGATATATATTATTTTATAGTATAGTTATTCTTCAATATTTTATTGTATTGTAACGCCGAATTAATTTATTTTTGACTTAGGAAACTACACAATAAATTGTATGTTTGTAAACGCACCAAAGAGTCATAATTTAGAAAGAAAGAAAGAAAGAATAGAAAACTGTTTTTATTCGAACTGAGACATAAAGGCCAAGAACAAACAAAATACAAGAATAAAAAAAAGAACAAAACAATAAAATATTGAAGTAACAGGACAACAAAATAAAATAAAAATAAAATTAATCAAAACAATAACGTGAAAACAGCCTAACAAAGTACAATAATACAACCCTGGGTTGGCGGACATGCCCAATCCGAATGGGTCGCCAACTCAGCAAAGCCCTAAAGGCTCTAAATCATCACGCTACGATCTGTAAGAACCGAGCAGCGGGTGAAACCGCGTGAGAAGCTAGTACCTTATAAAGTTAATACATAAGAAAATTAAGTATTACAAACACACCTTTCTCCGGCAACCCGAAATCAGCTAAATGAGCAGCCAAATTCGCGATGCTAACTCCAAGAGACTGTGCTGCCGTTTCCAAGGTCATCTCCCCCCTCTGTAGTCGATCCAGGACCTCCGAGGGTCCTTTCGTTTGCCAGAAATCTCTCACAGCCCTGGGGGTCAGATGAGGTGATGAGGTACCGTTAAAAATTCTGAAATCACAATTTTTATTAATTTTTGTATTCGATGATATGTATAATAGGGGTGGGCTTAATGACATTGGCCGTTTTTAGGGGGTGGGGAGAAGTGGTCTAGAATTCTGTCTGCCTTGGTAAGGCGAGAGGGAGTGTCAGACTCTTACTGACTAAAAACCCCCCCCCCGTTACTTCTTCAGACACCGGACCGAGCCCGCGGTGCTTAGCTGGATACAGCTAGATAAATATGTTAGTTGACTGCTTCGAATGGGTTCGAAACCTGGCAAGTACCAATGAGACATTTTCCGAGTTATATGTACTTTCTATGATTAATGGGACACCGCTGACATACGGTGAAGGTAAACATCGTGAGGAAACCTGGACTTATAATTTCTAATCATAAGTTTGAAATCCCCAATCCGCCTTTAGCTAGCGTGGGGATTAATGCTCAAACCTTCTCCGTGTAAGAAGAGGCCTTTGCTCAGCAGTGGGCACTTATAGGATGGTGATGATGGGATGTGATTTAAACACGTGACTGTACTCATGATAACACACAAACAATCTTCGCGCGCACGCCGTGAGACGCCCGATCAGCTGTTAGCGGCGAGTCCTCGCGCGACCTCGTTTGAACTTTACACAGTAATCTACATATATAAAAGAAAGTCGTGTTAGTTACTCCACTTATAACTCAAGAACGGCTAAACCGATTTAGCTGAAAATTGGCAGGGAGGTAGTTTAGAGCCAGGAGAAGGACAAAGGATAGAGTAGGTAGTGCAGGTTAGGTAGAGTAGGGTAGGTAGAGTACCTACGAAAGGTAGAGTAGGGTAGGTAGAGTAGGGTAGGTAGAGTAACACGTAAACAAATGACGGTAGCGACACCGCGGGTACTAATGAGTATAGAAAATGAGTTTCTTTGGGAAAGTTGTTCTTTATCATGAGTACAATCACATGTTTAAATATTGATCACTAATACGTTAATAATAGTTTCCAACTAGTCGAATTCAATACTTTTATCCAAACGTCAAAAACGACACTTTTCTATGATATTCGTATGAAACTCCAAATTATGACGTCATAATATTTATACGTCAAATAGCTTACTTGTTTAAAATATATCGAAAATTTAGTGTTTCGATCGATCGATGAATAAAAGTATCTATATATCCATATAGTTTATGCACTGATTGGCTTCAAATGTTAATTGTCGGCCGTCGCTGAAAATCCGGGGGCCGGTGCTTAGGTAAGCAAGATTATTATGAGAAGTGTAACATGAACGCACGACCCCGCAGTCCCTGCTAGACCGCGGTATTGTATAATCGTGTCTGAAAATAATACGACATTTATTCAGTAATCATTGTTTAATTTAATATACCGGAAAGAGCCCTACAAGCGCTGCGACACACTGTCTCGCATAGTGTCGCTGCATATGCTGAGCGAGGGCCATTTCGCGTGCTTGTGACGCATATTTTTCCTTATATTATTATTTTTCATATTGTAATAACATGTTTTTTTTTTGTTTTTATGTTTATACACTTGCTTTATTTTATGTCTTATGTGCGTCCTAGATGCGAATAAATACTTTTTGTTTGTATATTTAAATATTTCAATATTTTATTGTATGGAAACGTCGAATTAATTTATTTTTACCTACGACCTACCTAACTACCAACTATAAACTACCAAACTACCAATCCCCTTATACATATATGTTGCAAGTTAAAAAAACTACTAAAAATTGAGTTCAAATTATGCCTAAGGAAAACTCACCGATACGGTCGGTTGATACAGCCGTATACGTCACGATACCTCCCATAGAGAGTGCCATAACTCACTCCCAGTATTTCAGCCGCTTGCTTCATCTCCAGCTCTTTGAGGCGTACCGCTTCCATTACCTGGGAGAGACAGGATAAGTTATTAAAGTAAAAATCATTAGTAAAAAGTATAGTAACACAACGCTGTGCTTGTTTGATACCCGGTTTTTTGAATGCCGAGTTTACGAGAGAGAGAGTGTCTGACTCTTACTGACTAAAAACCCCCCGTTCCTTCTCCTGCCCTGGGCCGAGGTCGCGGTGCCTCATTGCGCTTACCCCGCAACCCCGGCTGAACATCAGCCCTATAGGGCCCCATCTGTGGTGGTCTATTGGCTCTTTGAGGCTATAAATATAGGTACAACACCGCCAACGTATCTTGGCGAGTCTGAAGTTAGCCGATTAGCTGCGCAGTACACAATTTTGTTCCTAAAAGATTCATTGCGCAGACAAACGGCTAACTTCAGACTCTCCAAGATACGTCGGCCGCACTGTATGTCGTGTAAAATATTTTAAAGAAATATTTACCCTCTTAACATAATTTTCCTCCCAGAACTGCGGCCGCCTCCCGTGCTGTAGATAGTCGCTGAGTTTGACAACATCCGTGAACCTCGGGTCCGTTGGACCGGACTTCGGACCCGCCGTCGTCGTTGGTGTTGCTGCTGTGAAAATTAAACAAAAATTTGCGTTTTATATGATACTAGATTACGCGTGGTATGTTGATAAAAGTAGCCTTTGTCTTATTCCGGAGTGTATCCTATGCCTGTGCCAAGTTTCCTCCAGATCCGTCCAGCCGTTTTGGCGTGATTGAGTATCAAACACACAAACATCGTAACTTTCGCATTTATAATATTAGCAAGAGTAGGACGTAGGTATAAGTAGGTACCTATATTTATGTTTTTAAAAAAACCCCGTTCCTTCTCCAGCTCGAGGCCTAGGCTTATTTTTTTTTAATTTATATAACTACCAGACCCAGCCACACGTTGCTGTGGCTAAGGTAAATAATATTGTGACTATAAATTGGGATGTAAGCTATCATATCTTTTGAGTTGGATCAAAATGCACACGGAATGCAAATCAAATTTAAAATCGGTTTAGTAGTTTAGGAGTCCATCGCGGACAAACACGTGACGCGAATTTTTTATATATAAAGATAGGTCGGCAAACGAGCAGACGACGGATTACCTGATGGTAAGCAATCAGCGCCGCGCATGGACACCCGCAACAACAAAGGAGTTACGAGTGCGTTGCCGACCCTTTGGGGATTAGGGATTTGGAGATTTAGGGATTGTGGAAGGATTGGGGTAGGGGAAGATTTGGGCCTGCGGTAACCACACTCACATGGCGAAACACAACTCTGTAGTTGTTTCACGCTGGTCGACCGACCCATTTGTGCCGAAGCATGGCTCTCCCGTCGTGGAGTTAGTCAAAAACTCAAAGTCGTGGTGCTCAAAATGGATGGTTACTGGTTACGGAGCCTGCTTCTCATGAATGAGGGTGTGGGTTCGAAACCTGGCAAGTACCAATGTGACTTTTTCCGAGCTACATGTATTTAGACGCTACTGTCATACGGTGAAGGTAAACATCGTGAGGAAACCTGGACTTATAATTTCAGATTATAAGTTTGAAATCGCCAACCCGCATTGAGCAAGCGTGGTGATTAATGCTCTAACCTTCTCCGTGTGAGAAGAGGCCTTTGCTCAGCAGTGGGCACTTATAGGCTGATGATGATGAGGATGCCCTCCCACACTTAAACATACATATTAACATATTGTACTAACCTGTACTCCTGTTAAGTTGCGTGAGCTGTGCTTTGGCAAGTTCAGCTCTAAGTTCGGCGGCTGATACTGATGATGCTGCGGCGGATGATGACGATGACGGGGGCGCTGACAGCCGCGTCGGGACACTCTCGTTTGACTCCTCGTCTGTGCAAAAAATATAGAAAAAAAGAAAATAAATTTGTACATTTTTTTTTTTGTTTTTTGTTGCCCGCTTGTCGTTGTCGATATTACATTTTTTCAAGATTTTGAAAAAATTTCTCTACGCACAGCACTTCACTGGACTTCCACACACACACCAACATTAGCCAAATCTAAATCAATAACTTTACAAGGAAAAGAGGCATTGATTAACAGATAGAAAAAAAAATGAATTCGTTAGTCTCGTTAAAACTCGAGAACGGCTGGACAGTTTTGGATGATTTTGGTCTTAAAGTTCAAAAAAGGTTTAAAAGGTCAGAACATATATATATTATCATGTAGTTATATTTCATAAGATATGGAGAGAAACTGAGAAAAGCTCTACTAGCATGAATAAGAGTCCCGTTTTGGCCCGAAACTAGTAGAGCTTCTCGTTATTTTCAATAAATGTTATATGTCTCACGACCCATACGTGCCGAAGCATGGCTCTCCCACACTTAAAATTTACCGTGGAATCTTCAAATATATAGGTATGTGATTCTTACCAGCGCTGTTATCCCCATCGACCCTTAATTTGGTATGTAAGAAGGATCCGATGTCTGCGGGCGCGTCCGCCCACTCGTCGTCGGAGGGATCCCTGGAGGTAGACCGGGAGGCGGACCTCATGCCCCACCCTACCACCCTCTCCGCCGTGATGTCCTGAGGTTCATACACTTGCTATAGGACAGGGTTTTGTTTACAGTATAATAAATTAATATGATTTACGAATTTCGAGGAATGTTCGATTAGTTTCAAGTTATACCGAGACTCATAGTTATGAAGTTTAATGTGCGATCTGAGAATAAATTTTTTCTTTGGAATATAGAGACTTGATGGCAAGCAATCCGCATTGCTCATATGCCAACAACACCAGAGAATTCATTAGGGTTTGGCTGGCCTTTGGGGGAAAGAGTCGGTTTGAGGACCCCCACAAAGGTCATCAGGCCTCCGGTAACATCACTCACACGGCGAAACACAACGCTGTGGTTGTTTCACACCGGGTCTCTGAGAGGCCGTTGTATCACTCCGGTCGAACCGAGCCGTTCGTGCCGAAGCATCCGAAGAAGACCGGCAACGCACTCACGACTCCTCTGGTGAGTGTCTATGACCGGCGCCGATTGCTTACCATCAGGTAATCCGTCAGTTCGTTTGAAAAAATAACTGTCTTCGTTTAAAATTGGTTATAAACGCGAGTAAAATAGCGTGGCACAGCTATACAAATATAAATGACGATATATTACATAAATTTGAATACAGAACGTTATTTTTATGAATTGTGTGCCAAATAAGTTTATCAGGAACTTATATGGAGGTGGTAAAACAGGGAAAATAGTATGAAAAACTTCTGGTTATTTTAATGTTTTTAAAATATTTTTGATATTATAATACTTACTAAGTTTCCATATCGCCATTCCTGGTCCTTTTCTCTTTCTCTGTAAAAAATATAATAAAAAAATAAAGAAAAAAAAAACAAATGACTGCGTTGTTAGTAAAAAATTGACTTTGTTAACAATGCCATACGATTGATTTTCGCATGTGCGTCCGTACATTCATTTCGATCACAATTTCATTCAATAATTAAAGAGTACTGTTAACAATGCAATAAGGTTGATTTTAGCATGTACACTTACAATCAGAATTTTATTAAATTCTTTATTACATTTTAACTTACCACCGGTTTCCGAAAGGCCGATCAATGTATAAATCAATTTAATCTCTTGTCAAGTCATCTGATTGGTTGACTGATATATCAACAACCAATCAGATGACTTGACAAGAGATTTAACAGGAGATTAATTAATTTTAGCGTTGACAAGCCTTTCAGAAACCGGGTGTAAATCTCTGTTTTCCTGACTCAGACTTAGTAAATTGAAAAACAAATAATATTTTTTAAAAAGAGTAACGATGGAGTTTCTTGCTCGTTCTTCTCCATTCGAAACTACAATTTGGAACGAGCACCTATAGGTACTAGCTTCACTGACGAACAGACTGACAGACTACTTTTCTATTTTGACGTTTCAAAAGTAAGAACCTATTTATGGTTTAGTTGGAATAAATGATTTTGATTTGATTTGATTTGATTTGATTTCTTAGGAATAAAGTTTATTTTGGACGAATAGTTTAATTCACTATAAATTAAATTTGAATTTAAATAAATTCTTGACTATCTTGCTCAAACAACATCATCTTTATTTCTAAGCCACTAAGGTTGAGATTCGCAGAAAAAAAAATACAAACATTCGAACTCTATTCTAGTCTTTATTTCTATGGCATTAAGGTTGATTTTACTTACGATTTATGTACATTACTATGTGTTTCGTCATCTGTGTGTTCAGTACCACTTGCTAATCGCTGTCTCTTTGGACTTGTGCTTTCTCTGAAAGAATAAAAAAAATATATTAGTAAGTCGACCGCAGTGATACCACTGATCAGAAAAAAGTTACCTGGAGAATAATTATGTTGCTGTCGCGTCAGAATGTTTGTATAAGACAGTGACAGCAACAATTTTATTCCTCGGATAACATTTGTCTGACTATTGAAAAATCTGCCTTAAATTTAGTTTTTCCTATTAGGTCGGCAAACGAGCAAACGGATTACCTGATGGTAAGCAATCAGCGCCGCCCATGGACACCCGCAACGGAGGAGTTACGAGTGCGTTGCCGACCTTTTAGGGATTAGGGATTTGGAGATTTAGGAACTGGGGAGGGATTAGGGAAGGGGAAGATTGGGCCTCCGGTAACCTCACTCACACGGCAAAACACAACGCTGTGGTTGTTTCACGCCGGTTTTCTGTGAGGCCGTGGTATCACTCCGGTCGAGCCGACCCATTCGTGCCGAAGCTTGGCTCTCCCACACTTAATCGAATATTTAACGGTGTATACTATTTGATACCAATTCTCGCCTGAAATCCAGGATTTCAGGCGCCTAATATTCTGAACTAATTGTAGCTAGCTCTAAGCAAAACTGTATATTCTAGATTAATACCCATTCAATAAAAATTACTAGTATAATTATACGTATACTTACGAATCAGAATTTTCTCTTTTGGCAGGACTTAGTTTCTCTTTGACTGGCAACTTTATTAATGGGGGCGGACCTCCTGTGGGTGGAGAGAAAAAAATATAGAAATTAATCCATCAAAATCAAAACCATTTAATTTAAAATAGACCAGTATAGGTACGTTTGAACTTCAAACAAAAAACTAACTATAAGAGTGCCTAAATCCTGGCCTTTTTTGAAATAAATTATTTGACATTTTTGACAACTGCACGGTTAGCGAGGTGGTTGGGCAACTGGCTGCCGCGCAACTTGTCGCGGGTTCTATTTCCGCACGGAATAACTCTTTGTGTGATCCAAAGATTGTTGTTCCGGGTCTGGGTGTGATGTGCGTGTGAAATTGTATGTTTGTAAACGCACCCACGACACAGGAGAAAATCCAAGTGTGGGGCAACGTTTTTTTTTAAAGTAAGAAAGAATGAAGACTTTGATTTCGACTTTGAAAACTGAAAACCTCTTCCTTTTTGAAGTAGGTTCAAAATTATTGTTAAGCCCAGAGTGAAAGCTCCAAAATCCGGGGTAATTACGCTTCCTATAATAGGAGACAGGTTTTAGAGATAGCAGCCCTATGTTACACTCCTTCAGGGATATAATTATTAGTGTTACACTGTTCTCACAATAATTGAACCAACTGTTTGTAAAAGGAATCTGTATGTGAAACTGATTGAAAAAGAGCAACCATGGAGTTTCTTGCTCGTTCTTCTCCATCGGAATCTACACTTTGGAACGAGCAAATAGCTTCACTGAGAGGACTGACACTTTATAAGTTAAAAATTTTGTTGGACGTTCAAAAGTGCCAGTTATAATCTAATTGATGACGATGCATGTGACAGGACTACAAAATCTTTCACTACAAATTCAATCAAAAACATCATAGCAGTTTCCGAGATAGCAACACACATACCATTGACATTGAATTTCTCTCCTTTAGCTTCTCCGTCGCTTGTCTCCTCCCTCTTGGGCCTTGGTTCAGGTTCAGGGGTCGCCTTAGGAGAGGGAGTGGCCTTCGGTGAGGGTTTTGCCATGGGTCTTGGTTCAGGAACCTTTTCTATGGGTTTCGGGTCTGTGGGCGTCGCCGTTGTTACTGAAAAGGGAAATAGTATTTTGTTTTTGTTTAAAATTTTCCTTCATTCTTCTTCTTAAGTGGGGATAATCGTCAAGTACCTTCTCCGGCGTTAGATCGGAAGATTTTGTTGAAAAGTTGGCCGTCCTAAGTAAGCGTGGTGGCGGAAATAAAGAGGATAGGACTGTCCTGGTCCGAAATAAAGCACATAATATAAAGCCCAAGATAGGTCCCATTGGAAAAATACTGTGGAAGCCGTCTGCCCCACCTAGGGGACATAGGAACTTAAGTCAAGTCACCTTCTCCGGCTATGAGCTGGTGGAAAAGAGGGATTGTCACAATCTGCAAGTGTGGGAGAGCCAAGCTTCGGCACGAATGGGTCGGCTCGACCGGAGTGATACCACGGCCTCGCAGAATACCGACGTGAAACAACCACAGCGTTGTGTGTGAGTGAGGTAACCGGAGGCCCAATCCTTCCCCTCCCCCGATCCCTCACAATCCCTAAAACTTCAAAACCCAAATTCCTAAAAGGTCGGCAACGCACTCGTTACTCCTCCGTTGCGGGTGTCCATGGGCGGCGCTGATTACTTACCATCAGGTAATCCGTCAGCTCGTTTGCCGACCAATTAGTTAAAAAAAAATTTAACTGACTTAAAACCACGCCATTCTTTCTACTTATTTATACAGCAAAGACCAACTTATGTGTCTTGAAAAATCCAGACTAATGCAGAGTAGAAAGAGTGACAAACATACATCCTAACTTACGAAATTTTGCGTTTATAATACTAATAGGATAGTATATTAGGAACGGCCTAAGTCGAGGCCATGGAACTGAGTGAGAGGAACTAGGAAGCCGTCTCATATTTCTGTGAAGCATTGATGCTCGCAGAGGACGAAGCAGAGCGCGTGAGAGTACTATCCTCCTTAGCCACCGCAGTAGTAGATACTCCTGACGTCATGGATCGCGCGACGACCTCCGATCACCGTAAGTGCGGACCTGCGACGCAACGGCAAGAAAGGGTAGCTCGTCCCCTAACCAGAACCAGACCCCACAAAAGATGAAGTCCACTAGGGCAGATGTCCAGGTGATGTCCGCACGCCTGCCAAGACCAGGAGAAGGGGAGAAGAAACGGCGTGGGTGTTTAGTAAGTAAAAGTCTGACACTCCCGGAGCCAAACCCATATTTTATTTGTGAGGGGTAAATCATCAAATGACTTCTCCCGCCCAGGGTCGGGCAGAAAGGAGTGTCAGACTCTTACTGACTAAAAAACCCCCCGTTCCTTCTCCTGCTTTAGGCCGAGGTCGCGGTGTGTCATTGCGCTTACCCCGCAACCCCCTCTGAACATCAGCCCTATAGGGCTATAGTCTGTGTTGATCTATTGGCTCTTTGAGGCGCGCGCGGAACGCTAGGCACCGTACGTTCGGGTCAGGTTCTGGTCGGGCGGCGGGCTACCCTTACTCGCCGTCCGTAGACCCACACTTACGGTGGCCGGAGATCATCTCTAGATCCCCGACTCCCACCAAAACCTGGGCAAAACGACACTGATGTTTTTCCCCTCACAAAAAAGGTCCGGCCCAGCAGAAGCAAGAAGCGGGGTGGTTTTTAGCCAAAAACTGTATGAACTGTAAAAAAAAATTGTGTATTGTATGTATATGGATTACCTGCTTCAGAGTCAGGTGGTTCATCCTTGTTGTTCCACCGTATATCTGTGAGACCCTTGATGCGGAGCTCCTCAGCAGTCTTCAATAAGCTCGCCAGTTGTGACTGGAAAAAAAATGTAAAACGTAAAACGTTGTTACGAAAATACTCATGACTGCCCAGAATGGGGATTTCGCTACCGTGCAACGTGTTCAATTCCCGCACGAACCAACACTGTGTGTCATCCACAAATTGTTGTTCCGGGTCTGGGTGAGTTGTGTATATGAACTAGTATATTTGTAAACGCACTTACAACACAGAAGAAAATCCTAGAGCAAGGCAATGCTTTTAGAAGCAGCGAAGAAAAAAGAAAGGAGATCTGCCAACCGACCACCCCCATCTTAATACTTACATGGTGAACATTCATTTCCCCAGTGTACATGTAGTCCAGAAGCGCCTTCAGATGCCTTGGCTCGGCGCCATCGATCACCAGCACCGGTTCCCCTTGAGCTTCATGAGCTCCGAGTAACGCACCGAGCAGTTCTGAACAGGCTGCTAACACCACCCTGAAAAAAATTGGCATAATCATTAAAAAAAGTATACTAAGCGCTTGAGGGATCAGTCGGTCTGGAGGAGAAAGAACGGGGCGGGTTTTAGTCAGCAACCGAGCTGACGGATTACCTGATGGTAAGCAATCGGCGCCGCCCTTGGACATCCGCAACACCAAAGGAGTTACGAGTGCGTTGCCGGCCTTTTGGGATAGGGGTTGCGGATATAATGATCGGGAAGGGATAGGGGAAGGGGCGGGATTGGGTCCTGGTAACCTCACTCACACGGCGAACACAACGCTGTGGTGGTTTGACGCCGGTATTCTGTGAGGCCGTGGTATCACTTCGGACATTCGTGCCGAAGCATGGCTCTCCCACACTTGTGCTAGACGTAAATCGTCATACACATGTGATGATTTCCGCCTTGCCTCTAAGAGCCGATAGACCACCACACATGGTGTCCAACAGAGCCAATGCTTAGTAGGGGCTGCGGGCCAATCGCAATAAGGTACCGAAGCCTCGGCCTAGAGCAGAAGGAATAATGAGGTTTTTAGTCAGTAAGAGTCTGACACTCAACTCGCCCCACTTAAAGCGAGATAAGTAATTTGATGATTTTGCGCCTTGGCTAGAAGGGGTAGTTAATTTTTTTTTTTTTTTATTTCGAAATCTGCAGGCATTCATTGGCCGAAATAGGCAGGCATTTGGCCGCTATCAAGCCTGGTAGTAAGAGCTGATACGACCTACGATGGAGCACACCTACCCATACGCAACCTATTCTACTCGGGCCTTGAAGACACCCAGGTTATACCCTTCGGGGAACACAGACTAAGGCAAAGTATTCTACTCCTTAGCGGTTTTGATTATAAAACTGGAGGCAAACCGTTTCGTGCGTGTGGGTGGGATATCCACCATGACGTGATGACGTTATGCCGATTGTGTTGTAGTACGACGGTGGAAGGGACTAGGTGGAATCAAGGTGTGTAGCTCCCTCGAACATTCTTCGAAAGGCTCGCTACTTTGCGCCTGTGTTCTAGGCTTTGAAGTCGGATTAGCGTATCGTTTATTCACATACCGGCTTTTTACAACTAGTGCATGTACAGGGCAAGGGATTCAATTTTCTGATGGGGCGGACCATCTTAGGAATCCTTTGATCATTAAAAGGTGTCGCATCATCATCATCATCATCAGCCTATTAGTGCCCACTGCTGAGCAAAGACCTCTTCTCACACGGAGAAGGTTTGAGCATTAATCACAACACTTGCTCAATGCGGGTTGGCGATTTCAAACTTATAATTAGAAATTATAAGTCCAGGTTTCCTCACGACGTTTACCTTCTCCGTATGTGAGTGGTGTCTAAATAATCATAGAAAGTACATATACATCGAAAAAGTCACATTGGTACTTGCCAGGTTTCGAACCACGCCAGGTTTGCTTCCTCACGCGGGTCGCCTCCCTCTTTGCGAGCAAAACTGCTTCACAGAAGGAGGAGGCGGCGCCCCAGTTCCTGTCACTCCGCACCATGGCCTCGACTAAGGCCGGGCTCGAGAGGTCGCCGCCAAAGGCAGGTAAGGTAGATTAGGTAGGTAACTACATAGGGTAGGAATGTAGGATAGGTAGCCCAATGATAGGAACAAAGCCATCGGAAACAGCTAGATCTTAATAAATTAAATTAATAAAAGTTTTAACTAACCTGTGTGCTCTTAAAGAGACTCCCCTTATGTTCTGTGGGTCCACTGTGTCCTTCCCGCCGACCTGCGTCGCGAAACTCGGCGAACAGTATAGGGTGACATCGCAGAATCGTTCTGTAAACATAAATATTAAATTGTACATTCAGTCAACAAAGTATCGGGAATGAATGTTTTTTTTATGGTTCCAAATTCGAATTTTAATTTTTTTTGTTGTTGTTAGATTGGCATAACTGTTTTCCATTTTTGCGCGGAATTTGAGTTGCATCTGTTATTTATATTAAAAACAGTGCTGTTTTTAGTTTTATAATATCTAGTGTGTATTGCGAATTTCATAATGGACAAAAACATCGAACAAATTTCGTGTTCGGAGGCACTCAAAATGTTACAGAAGGCTTACGGTGAATCGACTTTATCAAAAACACGTGCTTATGAGTGGTACAAAGCGTTCAAAAGCGGTCGAGATGTGATGGAAGATTTGCCTCGTTCTGGTAGGCCATCAACGTCTGCAACTGAAGTTAACATCGCAAAAGTGAAGGAAATAGTGACTGAAAATCCTCATTCAAGTTTGAGAGAGATGACCGCCGAACTTTCTGTATCTCACGAGTCGATCCGTACCATTTTAACAAATAATTTGGGTATGAAACGTGTTGCCGCTCGGCTAGTCCCAAAAGACCTGAATTTTCTTCAAAAACTAAATCGCATGGAAGTCGCTGAGGACATGCTAGAACGAGTCAATACCGACCCAACATTCATGAAACGCATTGTTACTGGTGACGAGACGTGGGTTTACGAGTTTGACATGCAAACTAGTCAACAAGCTTCGGAATGGCGCCTTCCAACTGAACCAAAACCGAAAAAACCACGCCAAAGTCGATCAAAAGTCAAAGTCATGTTGACTGTTTTCTTTGACTATCGCGGTGTTGTGCACTCAGAATTCTTGCCCGAAGGTCAAACGCTAAATAAAGAATATTATTTGAGCGTTATGCGGCGTTTAAGAGAACAAATTCGACGAAAAAGGCCAGAAATGTGGAAAGAAAATTCTTGGATTTTGCATCACGATAATGCGCCTTCGCACAAGGCCATCATTGTAAACGATTTTTCGTCCAAACACTCAACAAACACCATCGAGCAGCCACCATATTCACCAGATATGGCTCCAGCCGACTTCTTTCTTTTTCCCACACTCAAATTACCCCTTCGTGGCACCCGTTTTCAATCGTTAGAAGACATAAGGGAGAATTCGCGGCGAGCACTGAACTCAATTCCGGAAACAGCGTTTAAAAAAAGTTTCGATGATTGGATTATTCGTTGGCGTAAGTGTATCTTTTCTGAAGGAGCATACTTTGAAGGTGATAAAATAAATTTAGATGAATAACAAAAATTTTGTGTATTATTGACTTTTTCCCGGTACTTTCTTGACAGAGTAGTACATCGACCATCCATCCATTGCTCCACACTATGATTTTCTCCTGAGTCTTGTGGGTATTTATAAACAAACACATATGACATCTAGACCCGGGACAACTAATTGTGAATCACAAGACTTGTTCCTTGTGGGAATTGAGCCTGGGACATGTTGCGCGGCAGCGAATTGCCCACCCACCGCGCCAACCGTGCAGTCAACACACAAAATAAATAATATATAGGTATGTAGTATGTATATGTATGTTAGGTGTCGCTATCTTATATATATTACGGCATTATCTATTTGAATGCGACATATATATGTATTTTTTGGCATAACTGGCAAACGAGCAGACGGATTACCTGATACCTCGATAGAAGTCAACACAAAAAGATTTTTTCAATTCAAACCAGTAGTTTTCGAGATTAGGGCGTTCAATCAAACTCTTCAGTAATAATTAGTTCAGTTAATACATTCAATTACATAACACGTCATGAACACGGCGAAAAAGAACGTTAGTGTTGGATCACGCCGGTTTTCTGTGAAGCCGTGGTATCACTCCGGTCGAGCCGACCCATTCGTGCCGAAGCGTGGCTGTCTCTCCTGCACTTAAAATACCTTATCTATAGAGTCGACTTTCCAATACTCGTATTATTCATACAAAATATGTTTTTATCTCGTTTGCAAAATTTGCAATAGCTCAGAGGTCAGCTTGTCATGTCAACATTAAGCACCTGTAGAGACCTAAGAGACCTTGATAATAATTTTATAAATAACTAGCAAGCCGCTCCGGCTTCGCACGGGTATAGGTAGGATAGGTAGGGTTGGTAGAGTTGGTAGGGCTGGTAGGGTTGGTAGGGTTGGTAGGAGTGGTAGGGTTGGTAGGATTGGTAGGGTAGGTAGGGTAGTCAAACGACGGGAGCGAAACCGCGCGTAAAAGCTATTATTGGCTAATTAAATGGAACGTAAATTGAAAACAAAAAAATATATATTTAAATTTACAAATAGCTAGCCAAATTATTAATAGTTTACCTATTTTAAAATTTAAAACAAGTTATTCGAATACAACAAAACTATTGGTTAATAATTTTATGAATTAAAACGCGTGATGAATGCATCGTCCTCTAATTGGTCGGTATAAGACGTTTTCTAGGCGACAACCAGCCAATCAAATACTAGAAAAGTGGCCTTTCGAAACGCTAAAACGACAGCGTATCAAACTACACTATATGACAAACACAATTCCAATCTTACACACAAAGATATAAGGTTGAAAACAAATAAAATTCGGCGAGGTTACCACGACTCGCCGAGGGTCAGCCTAAAATTTTTCAAAGTTGAATTGCAAATAGCCGGTTTCGTAAACGTGGGAGCGTACGATTATAATTCGGTTTCTATTTTTAGACACTATTTAAATACCAACAAGTTCTCGAGGTCAGTTATTTTTATTTTTAAATTTTTAATAATATGTAGGTACGTACTTACGTACGCACCTCTATGTATATGTATGATAATATGCTAATTCTACCTACCTACCTACCTACTAGACATATTTATATTTTAGGCGCAAGTAAATTAATTGCTTATCTGAGGAAGTTATTTATTTTGGAATTACATATTTTAGCCTCGACTTATTAATTAGGTAATGTTTTAATCTTTTGCAAATTATTTTTTCATGGCGAACGAGCTCAGATGGCCTGATGGTAAGCAAGTAATGTCAGGGCAGTTTTAGACGGGGTTGCGGGGTAAGCGCAATGAGGCAACGCGGCCTCGGCTTAGAGCAGGAGATGGAACGGGGTGGTTTTTAGTCAGTAAGAGTCTGACACTCCCTCTATCTACCCTGGGCAGGAGAAGTTATTTGATGATATTCCCGTGACAAAAACGTCAGGGGAGTTACAAATGCGTTGTCGGTCTTTTAAGGATTGGGATTTGGGGATTTGGCGGAATATTGGGACTCCGGTAACAACCTTCACACGGCAACCGGAGTTCCAAGGCTCCCCTCAACCCAGTGGGGGGTTGCAAATGCAAGCAATGACGGTACAGGGACCTAGTCTTTTACCAGGAGAAGGAACAGTATGATTCTAAGTCAGTGACAGTCTGACACACAGGGAGAAGTCATATGATGGTTTCGGCCCTCAAAAAAGACCATCAACGCATTCGTAACTCCTCAAGTCTTCCGAAGAATGTCCATGGGCGATGGGGATTGCTTACCATCAGGTAATAAGGTCCTTCGTATTCCATAATAAGCAAAAAAAAAACAATTTGGCATTAATAACTCTCTTTTTTTCTCTTAACTAATAGAAACGACCTTCAAGTTGGAAATAAAAAAGAGAAAATTCAAGAACTCAAAATAACCCACGCTTCGCTGTCAAAATGAATAATGTCCAGGCAATTTTGAAAAATCGACAGATATAAATCTATGTATTACATAAAATAATTTGTACCGAATTACCATATTAATCTTAATTATAATTTCTAAATGATAACTCAAATTAATTTTAATATAAAGGACAAGATACAAACACGTATTATCTGATGATAATCAATCGGCACCCACAACACCAGAGGAGTTACTGGTACGTTGTTAGCCTTTTAGAGACAACGGGATTGGAAAGGGAATGGGAGATGGGAAGGATTGGGCCTCCGGTAACACAACGCTTTGGTTGTTTCACGCCGGTTTTCAGTGAGGCCGTGGTATCACTCCGGTTCATTCGTGCCGAGGTTTGGCTCTCCTACACACGTGTGACAAAACCCTAAACCCCAAAAGTTCCCGCAGTCGTAACTCCTCCGCTGTAGCAGGCGCTGATTGCTTACCATCAGCTAATCCATCCACACGTTTGCCATCCTATCACACAAAAAAATGTCATACCGCTTCCATTCCAACCAACAAACTCGATTTTGGTACGAAAAACTCCAAGGAGTTCCACAAGGACTTGACCAGTTTTTTGAGGATGAAAAAAAATCTATGCAAATGATTCTTAAGAACACGTGAGAAGCTAAAAATGTGGGTCGCCAGTTAGTTACTAAACATTTAGCAATGTCGAATCACGTTTCAAATTTGAAAAAGCAAAAAAACTAGACGGCCTTAGCAACTGAATATTATAATAGTTAATTTAGGCATTAAATACTTTGGGGTCATAAGAATTTATTTTTAGAACTGCTACTTAAGATATTTTTGGCTCTTTATTTTGAGTTGATCGATCGCTGTAATCATATTACTTATTACAAGTTATGTATTAATAGAAATAATTATTAGTACAAGTTTGTTTCGTAAGATGGCATTGTAATACATTTTTTTTATTGAATAGGAGGCAAACGTGACAGGTCACCTGATGGTAAGTGATCAGCGCCGCCCATGGACACCTGCAGAGGAGTCACAGGTGCGTTGCCGACCTTTTAAAAAGGAGTAAGCACGTTTCTTGAAGGTTTGAAGTAATGGCTCTTTGACGAGCTGCGGGAGCCAAACTGACTAAAACCATTTTGTGAAGGAAAAATCATCAAATGACTTCCCCCCAATCAGGGTGAGATAGGAGTGTTAGACTCTTACTGACTAAAAACCACCCCGTCTTCACTTTTTCGAGGCCGATTCCGGGTGTACCTTATCGCAATGGCCCCACAATCCTGGCCCCACAACCCTGGCTGAACATCGGACCTATTGGATCTCGATGGTATCAGTGACAGCTTTTTGACCGCAGTCAGGGTTGTGGTT